ATGTATACGTATGTTATTGTCATATAAGTGGGGGCACCCAGAAAATGTATACCAGGTTAAGATTAGATGATCGTCCAGATGATAGTCCGGACTATGGTCCAGAATTATGTCTTTGATCATAACAATAAGATTTTATTTTTTAATTAAATAATGATCGTAAAAGCAATATTTAACGCAATTTGCAATGTATATATTGTGCCTCATATCCTTTCCCGTGTCAGATCGCAAATAACGCACCTCAGATGTCGATCGTCAGGTGAGGTGCGTGACTTGTAGATCAGTCACCTGAGGTGCCTCAGTTGTAATATGAGGCATAAGTTAAAAATATTAATCATTTTTTTTTATTTTCAAATTTAGGATGTACGTACAGTAGCCCCAAAAGTAACGCCCGACGTTTTTTTTATAGTAAAACATATAAAAAATTGAAATTTACTAACCACATTAAAAGAAAATTTGGTAATAAAAAAATATTAACTTTTATATATTATATAAAGAGAAATTCTATTTTCACCTGAGTTAAAGTCACCCGATATATAATTTCCATTATATTATATAATAAAACTACTATAACCAACTAAAAATTCTATAGATTGGTTAGTTAGAGGTTAGGGTAGATAAATTTTATGATATTGTATGAATTTATATTATAAAATACAATAAAAATTATATATCGGGTGACTTTAACCCGGGTGAAAATAGAATTTCCATTATTATTAAAACTTTGGATTTTTAATGATTTTAAAATTTTTGATTTTTACTATGTTTTTACTATGTAAATTTTGTAAAATTGAATTGTAAATTTTATGTTATATTAAAACTTATTTTTTTTATAAAAATAATTTTTTATTTTCACTGCCCATAAAATATAATAGTAATGCTATTAATAATTGTAGTTAAATTCTTAAAAAATTTTTTAAATTTTATATTTAATTTTAAAGTCAATCTACAAATTTTGAATCGTAAACTTTATAATTTTTAAAAACATCAATCCAATTTGTTTAGACCGTTGATACTCATATTTATAAAATACAAATATTGAATTTATATAACAGAAATTCTATTTTCACCCGGGTTAAAGTCACCTGATATATAATTTTTATTGTACTTTATAATATAAATTTATACAATATCATAAAATTCATCTACCCTAACCTCTAACTAACCAATCTATAGAATTTTTAGTTGATTATAGTAGTTTTATTATATAATATAATGGAAATTATATATCAGGTGACTTTAGCCTGGATAAAAATAGAATTTCTCTAATAATAAATATTTTTTAATTTTATATGATTAGAAAATTTAATATTTATATTTTATGATGTATAATTTTCACTGGTGCCAAAAAAAAATTGTGTTTTTTTCTAAAAAAAAAAGTTCTTAAAAAGGATTTTATATATAATTTACTATAAAATTGATCATCGAGCATTACTTTTGATAGCTACTATACATAATTTAGCTAATTTTGTTGTCTTATGATACGCTAGTTTAAAGAACACAGCAAATAATATATTTATTTACTTATTTATTATACTTTATATATTAATTAAATACTAATTTTTGTTCAAACAGGACTGCCCACCATAACATCAGCTTGTATATTTTTCTTTGACCTTTTTGCACCTACACCTATTAGTATTACATGAACTCTTACAACTGCAAATAGAGCTCGATACCATTCCAACACTTTGGAGCCTTTCTGCTTTTTGGATGGATATTTTGGCTGTGAAATTGTATCAAGCTCGAGGTAATTGAAAGTTCCAGGTTCTTCAAGCTTAATAGAAAAATAACATATATTGATTGTGCCGAACTTATATCCTAACTAGAATTGTTGCTCACCAATTTTTTTTAAAATTTTACAGAGCAAAGAAGGTAATCGATACTAAACTGATCTATCTTAAAAATGCTTATTTAAACAAGGTCCTGACTTTAAAATTATTTATTTTCTTTTCTCTAATATCTGCTTAGTCATTTTTTAGTATATTGATAAAGATCTTTTTGAGCAATAGCTTTTAGAATTTTATATTGTATAACATTGGAGTCTTGCTTTCTGATATTAACTAGAGCTAAATTTGAAGATTTGTTTAAAGAATTAGATTCTAATATGCAATAAAACAAAGATCAAATTTAAGTTACTACCATTGGTGTTGGCATTAACATTGACGTTGGCATTGATATTTGCATTGGTGTTGGCATCAATATCGATATTGGCATCAACTTTGATGTTGGTGTTGGTATCAATATTGGCATTAGCATTGATGTTGATGTTGGCATTGACATTGGTATTGGTGCTGGCATTGATTTCGATATTAATATTGGTGTTGGGATCAATATTGGTATTAGCATTGATATTAGCATTGGTGCTGACATTGATATTAACATTAGCATTAGCATTGTCTAAAGAATCATTACAATCATTAGATTGGTTTAGATCTTGATCTAAAAGATTAATATTAAAAAAAAAAATAATAAATTGAAATAATAAATATAAATCAATAAAAAAAAACAAGGGTGTGGCGACTTAGTGAAGTGGTTAAGTTGTCGCACCCCCAAGTGATATGTCAGCCAGATAGGGGGTTTGAAACCCACTAGTGATGAATTTCGAATATTCTACTTGTACAACAGCTACTGTCTTTCGACGATCGGTTGGAACGAGATCTCTGTAACCTTGGTGTTACCAACAAGATTGGAAGATCATAGAGCATTTGTGTAATGTATGAGTTACACAAAATGTTCCAGATCATGTTAATTCAAGGAACCAGAAAGATGACGCCCGCTTGGCAAGACCCGAGTAGAGAGGTAGCACAGATCTTTGACGGTACTATGTAAAAAATTGGCACCGGAGAACTAGCAAAAACTGAACGAGGACCAGTATATAGCAAAGCACCCCACCAACCAGGCCGCCGAGACCGAGTCCGTCGGAACCGGAGGAAAAGGATCTGCTTAGTTGCAGATACTAGGGGAAAAATCCCTTCTGGGCCATCTGGATTGGTAGTTTGGGACAGTTAGGGATAAGGTTGACAGTCTGTAAAGTGGGTACTGGGGTTTGGGTGAACTCTACAAGGGGGTAGTAGGTAACTGTAGTGGCTTCGGCTTGCAAGTACTTGTCTTCAGACTCAGCATAAGTTACTGAATCTAGATAAATTTAGATTGTGGGTTCAGACTGCTCTAGTGTTGATCTCTCGAGGATAAATTAGTCCTAAGGAAATGAATAAAGTATCCGAGACTTCTTGACTGACAGATGTACCAGAGATGTCTTGGTGATACAGGTTTAGTTACATTACAGAGGAGTTAAATGAGTAACACCCATAGTTGGGTTACAGGTACGGCATCTAGTGTAGAACCTGTATAATGTACAGGTGGACTACTTAAATTAGACACCAAAAGTGTACATGTGGCTAGTATATACTCTCTAATGTAGGGGTCCCTAGAGAACTCTTTGCTATATATACTTGAATAAAAATCCTAGCTCCCAAGAGAGTAGACGTTAAAAAAAAAAAAAAAAAAAAAAATCAATAAAAAAAAACACATATACCTTCCATGTTTTTATCCAAATTAAATGTATTGTCAATTTTAATCTGAACAGTATTTGGAATATCCTTCTTATTATAAATTTCTTTTTTATATATTTCATTCAATAAAGTACTGTTTCCACGTAGCTTACAGCCATAAACAAGTTCAAATAGTATTTTTTTATGAGAGTGATACTATAAATTATTCATTATTGTAATAATAAATTTCAAGCCAAATAACCAGTTCTTACAACCAGTATTCAAGATTTGTATTCTCAGAGTTCTCATGAGAATACTATTAAAAATCTGTGCATAGTTTAAACCTTTTTGCTGTTCTCTATTAAAAATAATTTGCACACAGTAAAACAAATAATTGTGTTCACATATATAAGTGTACTTAAACAAAATATATAAATATTTTTTTTAATTTTCACTTTAATATAATACAACTTGATAATACAAAAATTTAAAGTAAATTTATTATTACATCTTTGTCAGTATATTGGTTTTTCTTTATTTGTTAGTACCATAAAACTTTTTTATCTATTGTATGTGATACTGTTTGTTATTTATGTTTATGTGGTATAATAGCTTGTATGTATATTATTTTCTTATATTTTTATAAAAGAAATTTTTGTTTTTTATTTTTATAGTTATTTCGATATTTCAATTTTTTGATACTAATATAATTTGTTTCTAATATGATTCAGATGATAATACAGTTAATAAGCATATAAGCTTTCATCAAAATATTTCATATGTATGCTTTTCTAAGTTAATACAAAAATATATTTTCTTTAATTTTTGAATATTTTGGTCTTAATCTGTACTTTTGTTTTTT